TAACTCCCCAGACATGTCCCAAATAATGCATCTGATGCATGTACTTAGGCGGAGAGTGTGCGCCAGACACCCTGCACCCGCCAACTTGGCCCAACTTGAGATAGCTCTAAGGGCAACCATGCACGGTTATTCAACAGCATGCCATCACGGTGTCGTGCATGTATCGCCCGACATGGTGGACACACCAGCTATTGATCTACACGCCCGAAATTGATTTTCCAGCCATTTATCGCCACAAGACAGTCATTTCAACAGTTCCCATATTTTGTGTCGGTATTTATATATGTAGCCCATTCTGGTTTTGATGCACGACATATTCCAACAATTAATTGTCACGTTTATTTGTGTACAAAATATGTTTCGAGTTAAATCAACAGTAAAAAGAAAAGCTGTAAAGTATGGCCATACGTCACACTGGTATGCTCAAATTTCGATATTAACAAAACGTTTGCTGATGTTAGTTCCTTACGCATTGTTTGGAACCATTTAAAATCGACATATGATGGTTGATCTTTGGAAATATTAACAACACACTTCCAATTAAGCGAGCCACTGAAGCTCATATTTCTTTAATACACCATGGATACAGAATTCTGAAATCATTGATTTCTAACTAATATTCCGTTCATTGATTGTTCTAGCTTTTATATAAAACCTTACAGAGCCACGGTATGGCTTCATGGCGTGCTATATTAAAACATTTGTGTTGTCGATTTCTTCACCAAAACGGTGTACAAATAGTGTGCGGTAGAGTCTCTGTGAGTGGGAAGAGCACGATGTCAATACCAATGTGTATCCAAAGGATATTTTAGCCATGACATCACTGTGTCGCTGTTTACATGTAAAACAGTTATCCAGACATCCTCAAGGGCACACGTGAAGCGAGCATTAAAGGTAAGTTGATATTTTTTATTTGTTCTTAGTGAATATCATTATTTCACGCACCACTATATTTTAGGGGACGAAGGTGGCACCTGTCACAAAAACATGCAAAGGCAAGCTAATTTTTCACCTAAAAGAACACGGTGAAATAACGCAAAGGGAATTGCATCTGACATCATTTTTGTAACCGGTGCGTCCTCATGTCAACTCATGTCAACCAATGCAGTTTAGTGATGTGAAACCTTGGTCCTCTGAAATTAAACAGATGGTGTAGCGTAACGGTAATTACAACTAATTACATCTGCTGACTCGTATGATAAAACATAGCCAACATGACATGTTTTGATGAGTCTATCGTCTCGAGCTCCCCTCAAAAACTAGAATACCGATGTTTTAACTTACTGCGGACGTTTCTAAAAATAATATTATGAACACGATTTTAGAATCTGCAATGTATCGCTTTTTAAAATAATTAATCTTGAAAAGAAAGCTGCGCACTTCATTGCCAGTTTTCACCTGACTGAACAGACTATGTTCGAATCATCAATTCTGAAAGTTGTATTCAAACGCCCCATTAAACCAACGATGTTTTTCAACGTTGAATTTCGATAATGTGCAAAGTGTATTGAGTAATGAAGAAATGACGATATTCGACCCCGTTAAATATTGTTTTATTACAAATAAGATTACGTAATGAAAAAAATGGCATCTAACGGGGACTGCTTGAGTAATCTATTTATATCAGTTAAATTTTAAAAAGCTCAAAGTTCAAGCATTCAAATTCGTATCTCATTTACAAAACGGATAACAAGAATTAACAAAGATCTCTATGAAGTATCCCCTCCGACTACTTCATTTATTTGAGACAGTTCGAAGTGGCATCCACATTACCATAATACACTAGCACTTGCTAGTGATGTATGGTGCCCCATCAGACAACATAACATTAACATCAATGAAAATACATACCTTCCTTAACTCTATACAGCAACACACCCGTGAAGGTCCGGGTAAGAACAGGTTTTCAGCAACCCATGCTTGCTGTGAAGGCGACTAACGGGAACAGGTGATCAGGCTCGGTGACTTGGTTGATGTATGTCATCGTTTCCCAATTGCGTAGACCAATGCTCATGATGTCAATCAGCGGATTATCTGGTCCAGACTCGAGCATTTACACAACGTCGTCATATAACTGGAATATTGGTGAGTGCCAACACTACAAGGTCATAAAAGGTTCTCAGAGGGGCCCAATTTATTCGGCTCAAGTATTGGCTCGTTACAGTTTCGATCAATGCTTTTTATATAAACCACTGGTGTGCCTACCTCAGGCTTAATTATGTACATGTTGCTGTGGTATTGCTGCTATATAACTGACTTCAGCGCATACCAACACTCACTCACTTTTCACCTTGGAAACAAAGCCAACATGAAACTTGACACAAACCCAACTGACATGGATCAACACTTTCTTCACAGTTGAGTTTGTCATTATCCGTTGTTACAAGATGTCTTACTTGTAAATCGACTGGCAGCAGTACCAAATGAGTTTTACCAACGTTTTAATCATGATTGACTACATTCACCGTAAGACCTTTGCATAGACAACCAGTCTTGACTGACTTTGTAACAGAATCATCCTTTGTTCTTATATTGCTCTACAGATACGTCATCAAGACCAGGCGTCTCTGGAGGATATCAACGATCGGGACTGAAGTTCCAGTTTCACCATCTCCAACAAATTCGTAATCATGATCAAGTACAACGCTTTACTACTGGTGGGGTTGTGCGTCGCCTTGATCTTTATTTACAACATATATTTGGAGCGGACAGTTGGCAACTTTTCACAGGGTTTCCTGACTAATCCATTTCACTCGGGGAAGTTTGAAGATCTCAACCAGCCTTTGCTACGTCAGTGGAGCAATATTTCGAAAAGTGCATCAAGTATGAAAACTTCGACCGACACTAATAAGACTCTTCCCAATTCGTGCCCTTCGATATCGCCAAACCTTGGTAAGGGGACAAATGTTCAGGACAATAAAAGCAGGATCACGAGGTTTTATGCGTCCCTTGTTCGGTTTAATACCACACGCCTCCGATTTGTGGGACGCATAACACCCCATGTACCCCGAGTTATCCTGCTCCAACGGATTTATCTCACCGACATGTTTTAATATGACATTGTAAAATAATTCAAACAAAGTCAAAATGTATAATAGAAAACAGCTGAGGTTACCTTGCGCTTTGCTGTTTGACAACCATTGACTAGGAAAAAGCGTGAGGCTCTTTGCTTTGAAGCGTGGTATAAAAAATTTATTCTGCCTCTCAGAAATCCACGGGCATCCTGACTTGCTCGTGGCGGGGTATAAGGCATTTATTCTTCCACTGAGAAATATATTCCCCTCCAAGACGGGATACACAGTATTTTATCAAGATCACGTGGACCAATAAGATATCATCATTCAGACATGGGAAGTATGATAACTCCGTCTCCGTTACAAATGTGAAATTTGCGGCATGTACAAGCATACATATCGTAGTACCACAGGTTGAAACATACATCTTACCCAATTTGGGTGGTGGGTTACTTCCTCGTGTAAACGCAAATAGTTGCCAAAGATCCTTCCCAAGTGGTGGTGGGGATTTCCTCTAATGTAGGCATTAAACGTCGGTCGTAGGTCAAAACATGTGAAACGCGAGAACATTGCATTACCTTTAGTAATCAATGTTATGGATCAAGGAATTCATTTTTTTCTAAAAATTGTCGTGTGGTATAGTGGTGTACATAGTTGAAAATCATATGTTTTGACATAACTGAACTTGGTTGTTTTCTGAGATTGCAAAATAAAGAAGCATATCCTATGCGCTATTGAAAAATTCACACGGTAGAAATGTCACTTGGCTGAAATACCCCATGTGAATATAAAGAAAGTCTTTCCTTATATACAATTACGTCCAGCACGTTTGATAAGAAATTAACAGATATACAAGAAAATGATTGAATGTTGAATCTGGGTCATCGAAGAAAAAAGACAATAGAAGTTGACTGACCAAGCAGTCACACCCGAGAGAACAATAAAGCGGCTGAGAAGTGAGTGAGCGTGCTGTAAGGAAGTTACATAAGAGAGATAGAAAAACTGCCCTGTAGAATGACGAAAACGTAAATGGGTTACAAGATCCCCGCCTTCATGAACAGATGGACCCGACTTTGGGTTTAGAGTGGGACAGGTGAACAGCTCAAGGGTTTTGCCAACTGGGTTCCACATGGGTCCCAATAAATATTACCCATAATGTATAGAGGTTATCACGCGAGTTTTCGGATGGCAAGAATATATCATGTAATATGAATAACTATTGTCATTAGCGAACCTTGGTGAGCAAAATTTACATATTGTGTTTGTTCCTAATACATGATATTTACCACCCAACAGCTAGAAGCGTTATAGCCTCTTTATCATATAATGTTTTTCTTCAATTATATCGTCACAAACGGTTCTGAAACATTGCAAATTTTCGTGGAATGTGCGTAAGGACCCAGTCAATGAGGCTTCACGTTTGTTTAAGAGTCTACCTAGTCATTACATTGTTACTTCTATTGTGGGGTATTTTCCCAGGAATCCAAGGCACAGTTCCGATGATTGTTCGTTCGATTCCCAGATTCGACTGACAATGACCCTTGATTGGCACCACCTTACCTATGCTCGCGGGGTCAAGAAAACGTCTAAGAGCAATCTTGCTCTCACATTAAACTGACATCCTGACTCGATTTTTTTACAGACCGCCCTCATATAGCTGGAATATTGCTGAGTGCGGCATTTAACAACAAACAATAAAAAAATAATAATTATTAAACGCCTTCCAACAATGAGAAATTAAAGTAATATTTTCTATATATTAAGTTTTATTTATGAAATAACTGGATTAATCATTTAATCATTGTGTTGATCTTTGTCTGTCATACAATGCACATGACGCCCTAACCTCGAGTCAGTTCATGTAAATATAGTTACAACGTGTAATTAATATATATTTAATGTATGTTATCAATGTTTCTTGTCCCTGTTTTCGATCAGGACTGGTATCATGTTCATGTTGTTTCAGTAGGGAATATTACTGCACGGATGGAGGCTTTGCCGTTTGAGGAACTTGAAAGGCGCTACACAGAACTAAAACCCGGTGGTCGTTTCAACCCTGTTGGTTGTAAGTCCCGTCACCGAGTGGCCATCATTGTTCCCTATCGCGACCGAGAGTCCCATCTCAAGGTTCTCCTCAACAACCTTCATCCCATGTTGCAACGACAGCAACTAGATTACGGCTTCTACGTTGTGGAACAGGTGAAACGTGTATTTCAAACATTGCACATGTGTATCTGTTTTTCACTGTAGATACCGAAAAGGTATATGGAACCTTTAGGCCGATGATGTAACCTTGATGGAAAGAATATTTCCAAATACCCCCAAAAAGGTATGCATTTCAAAATATATGCCAGTACGTTTTCTCGAATCAAGTAGACCGACATTATTTGTTTGAAAAACACGTGGTTGTTATTGTCGGTGAACGGGTAGAGACTTTGAAAAAACATCAGTTTACCATGAAAATCTGGATCTCTTTCATTGACCTTAATATATATACCAAGCCCAGTTTGGCCTATTTAGCGTTTGCTGGTATGAGGAACTTATCCACACCGTTTCTGTGACATACAATGACATCACATTGGAGTGATACCACACTCAGAGGCTCTGTAACCAGGAATCGAATGAATAATCCGGGAATTTTGTTTGGATGACCTTGGGCTCATTGTATTTGTAACTTGAGAATTAAAGACATCTTATCATAATATAAAGTGACATCTGGTGGTTTCGAAGAAATAACATTTAGAATGATGATATTGGAACATTTTGGACATTACAGGCTTTACCAACCATTTTCAACAGAGCCATGTTAATGAACATTGGATACAAAGAAGCACTGAAGGACTATGATTTTCAGTGCTTTATCTTCCACGATGTGGATCTCATTCCAGAGAACGACAAAAACCTGTATACATGTCCTGAGAATCCACTTCATTTGTCAGTTTCCATTGACAAGTTTCATTATAAGTAAGTATTTTATTGCTTTTTGAGTGGTTGGGAGGCCACGTGATTGTCATGAAATTTGAAAGATATCATATTTGGGTTGAAGTGGTAAGGTGGGTGAAAGTCAAGGTCAAGGTCGCTGGAATGGTAATTTGAAAGAAGTTACGCCTCTATGTGATCTGAACCAATCGCTAATGGTGGTATAAAATGTGTTGGTGCGCCCATGTAACCAACTAGAAATAATCAAGTATGCCATTAAACCCGTAATGCATATATAACACTGCTCGGGGCATGGGACGTCGCCTTTGAAAGAAATTAAAGAACTGAATACAACTTTCTTATGAAGCTAGTCAGAGAAATGTGATACTATGTTCAGTTTAAAGCGTCAATGAGATGTTTGTTTTTGTCCCAATCATGAATTGAAGTTGCATACAACTTCTTGCTCATGAAGCAGAGAGGCATATGGCATTCTAGTTTAAAAACCCTAATGTACACGAATAGCGAGAGGACTTTGACTTTCAAGGTTTTGTTCACGGGTTTCCTCAGGCTGCAAGTTTTGTCATTTGACCGGAAATGCATTTAGGTTCCCCTTTATGTTAGCATGAAGCATGGTACTTGAACTGGTTTCAGGATGTCGTAGGCATGTATTTCTCGATCCGAATGGTATCAGACTGCAACTGCATGCTGTTATTCTCCTTGCAAAGTTAACGCTTTTCACTATACATTCAGATAGGAGTCCAATTCGTCCTTACCTGCTGGTGGATTTATTACTTACCAGGATGCAATGAAAATGTATTTTTAAACATGGTATTTTGTATGATTCTTTGTTTCTGAACACTGCACGCAGCAGTATTCAAGGTAAACCCGTGTTTGGTATTGCTATTATAACTCATCAGTAGGATGACAAACCTACGTTGCTGGGGAATCCGATCTGGAATCGATGGCCAAACTTTTCTATTGAGTATAGAAAGGATTTTGTCGTATTAATTGCTTATACGTAGACATACATGTCTTGAACAGTAACAGACTGCTTTGTCCAGATTCGAAACAGCCAGAATATTGCTGAGTGCGAGGCTATCCTGCAATGAAACAAACGTACACTTATCTTGCAAAGCACTACCTCGAACATATATCATACACTTATCTTGCAAAGCACTACCTCGAACATATATCATACACTCATCTTGCAAAGCACTACCTCGAACATATATCATACACTCATCTTGCAAAGCACTACCTCGAACATATATCATACACTTATAACGAAACATCTGAGCACATTTGAATTGTCAAGATGTACTATAAAACTAGTATGTACTTAATTACAATATTCGTTCACACAGACTTAATTATGAAAACGCATTTGGAGGGGTGACTGCTCTAACCAAAGAACACATGAACAAAGTCAATGGCTTCCCTAATAGATACTTTGGCTGGGGCAAGGAAGATGATGACATGTTGAAAAGGTAAGATTGTGGTATAATTTCAACACCAATGTTTAGTTAGATTCCCATAGATGTGCATGGATACTAGGCATACTAATCTCATTTGGATTCCCTCGTTGTACATTTTTTAAAATATCACGTCCATGCCAAAAATGACCTTTTTCAGTCATACGCGAAATCGTAGACAGATTGGGTCCCCAATATACCCTGTTTGGGGTAAGAGCTGACTTGGCTGGTGATACTGAGTTGCAGTGTCTAGGTTGTCGGGTTATAGCGTGGATAATCTTGACTCCTTTATGCAGATATCAAGGCACTAAACATTCATGCGCTGTGCTTGCCTGTCAAATATACATATATATATTTGATTATTTCTAGTTCCCAAAGACATCTCTGATGCACTCCTTTAACAAGAGTGAAAAATAGTAACTCACAGATATACCCGGAGGAACCATATTCTTTTAGACACTTGGTTTCTTGTTAAAAACGTTCCATCAAAGACAATACTTCCTGTAAACGCAAAGAGTAGCTGCAGCTAGAATTAGAGTTTGATGGTGGACGTTGTGTGCGTTGTTCTTTTCTCTTGGACAACGTTTTGAATCAGACAGATGAAACCTTATCATAATCACATGTGTTCCTGTTGGCTCTTGTGAGCGTTATGAAGTTGAATAAGTCCCTATCATCATAGAAATATACTAAGGCGCACATTGCATGGGTGTTTCATTTAACGTGACTGTCAAACTAGGTTTTGTGCATGCTTACAATATACATTATATGAAAGTTAACTTGTTAACTTGCAGGCGATGTACGTATAGGTTTTATGTATAAAAATGGATATCCAAAATCTACCATTAACTTTGAAAGAGGCCAGAGAGATAAGGTCATCTGACAACTTCAGGTTAACCGAAGTTAAGCCACTCTTGTAGACGGCCATTAGTGAACTTGAAATTGTGCATAATATAGGGTGGAGAACGGGCACCGATAAGACACATTGGTTTTGTCCATTTTGGAACTTACATGTACTTGAAAAGAAAATTCATTTTGTATTGATATGTTCCGCATATGTTAATATTCGTTCTAAATATTTCCCATTTTTCAATGACCATACTTATGCTAATCCAAGGGATAGTTTTATAACACTGCTGCAATTCTCCGATGTTATCAATCTAAAACATTTCGTAAATTACATTAAAGATGCAGTCAATCTCCGATCTTCACAATTGTAAACATTTGCTGTTGCACTCGTGTTCAAAATACCTTCATTGTATTGATTGCACCTGGGACTGAGGCCTCAATACTGAAACAGATGATTTATTGACAGTCTACATTGGGTTGCCGCATATTTCCGCATCAAATCATCATGCAGGGATTGCATACAGCATCGATGATCGGAATAAAGTTAACACTGATATGGAGACTTAGGAATCGCCAATAAGATTCTTGCAGTGTTCTCATTATGTCGTTCACTTGATTTCTTTTTCCAGAATTAAAAAAAGTGGTTTGGTAATGTCTCGCCCCGCAGCAACCGTTGCTCGATACAGGATGATAAAACACAGAAGAGACGCAAAAAATCCACTGAACAAATCTCGGTAGGTTGTAACGGAAGGGCTCACTTGGGATGTTTACACTTTAACAGAATGGGAAATTATGTATGTAAAGCTGAGTGGAATCCTGGTTGGAACGAGTCTCCAGCCAACTATGTACCACAACGACGTTGATCGTTGCTCTTCATATAAATCCCTGGATTGCTAGGTCCACTTGGATTAGTTTATTTATAGGTCGCCGTCAAAAAAGCTGGACTATTGCTGCTTGTGGTGTTAAATAAAAAGTTATTTCATCCAAATCTTAAACTAACTACGAATAAACGCGAATCAGTTACTACTCAACTGTATAACGTTTCTCATGTATCGTATCCATTTACATACTAATTGATCCCAGGAATGTGGTGAGTGAGTGAGTGAGTATGGTTTTACGCCGTTTTTAGCAATATTCCAGCAACATCACGGCGGGGGACACCAGAAATGGGCTTCACACATTGTACCCATGTTGGGAATCGAATCCGGGTCTTCGGCGTGACGAGCGAACGCTTTAACCACTAGGCTACCCGACCGCCCCAGGAATGATGTGACACGGAACCAGTAAACAATTATTGGTATCAGGCATTTAGAAGTGATACACATAAGGAAGAGAATTTATGGATGTCAACTTCTTTATAATGAGAAACACAACGTTTCGGAGTATATGCTTACCCCTTCATCGAACGAATCACCGTAATATATTAAATATTGGTATATTGTAACTAAATAATTAAGTTTTGAGCTCAGATTTGCAATTAGTATTTTTAACAGAGCATATTCTGTTATATATTACGGTATATTTTCAAGTAGTCTACATGTTATACGTGTCGCATGCTATTTACTTCTTCCAGTTCTCTTGAGGCGCGAGCTTCGTTTGTATTTCAATTCTGTATTGTGTATGTTCAGTGTATATATATATTATTGTATTGTGATGTAATTGTATGACGGGGGGAGTTTTGGGGGATGGGTGCAAGAGGAAAGGTGTGGTCCAAACGGCTGAGCTCATCGTGGATGCATGATTATTATTATCAGTTGGTCTGCTGACTGTAACTGGAAGTGGAATAAACGTGCTATTGTATTCTGTGTTCCCAGGATTATTTCATGAAAATGCGACAATCAAAATGATGCTTGTGCTGGAGCAGTTGAGCTGCCTGCGTTATATTACTGGAATATTGCTAACAGATCAAACTCACTCACTAACTCCGTCATAAGACACATATATAAAGTACATGTATCTTACACTTGATCTTTTTCAGATTTAAACTTTTTAACCAGGCAGAAAAAGTCATGACAAACGATGGACTAAATTCACTCAGTTATAATGTTTTGCAAAGGGAGTATAAAAAACTGTACACTTGGGTCTATGTACAGGTTGATGGCAACTATAAGGTGAGGATGTGTTTATTTTTCTTTCCAACATTACGTAGTTGTTCATGTCCATGCCTTTTAATTCCATATTAAAATTCGTTCCCAGTAACCTATACTTCTCCGGGTGCCTATTAGGCGACTAAACGAAACCGGGCGCATATCAGGCTCTGTGATTTGTTTGATTGTGTATCATCTTAGTCTGTCGTGGAACGTTGCTCATAATATTGACCACTGGTTTGAATGGTCCTGACTTATATGTGTAGGCCGTGTCATAATTAAGCTGGAATAGTGCTGCATGTGTCAAACTGAAAGAATGAGAACTACATGTGTATGTCCACTGCAGATATAGCTAATTAAAAACATTGTTTGACGAGCTGTTGATTACGATTACGTCCTTTTCGTTTACAGATTTAAACGCCATGGACAGAGGAGTGATCTCTGTTGCACAAACAACAATTTATACAGAGCATTTGGAAGTCGACTCAGACCATTCGACCTGGTGATTGGCCAAGAAGGTTACATAAAACGTAGTCAGAAATTATTATTTTTACCAATAAAGATACATGTCTTCATGTTCGGCGCACCTTTAAAATAGACGGCGTAATGCGAACACGTTTTGCTTACAATGGAGATAACTTGCCATTCGAAATGATATGGGGCAGTGGGGGTAGCCTAGTGGTCAAAGCGTTCGTCGTTATACCGAAGACCCGGGTTCTATTACCCACATGGGTACAATGTGTGAAGCCCATTTCTTGTGTCCCCCGGCGTGATATGGCTGGGATATTGCTGAAAGCTAAACTCACTTAATCACTCGAAATGATATTGTGCAACTTTGTACTTAACATGAGCTGCTGTCGGCATTGATATATAAAAACCCGTTATATATTTCAGGATTGACTATTATTTTCAGTTCATGAATCGAAACACCAAAGTGCAAACTGGTAGAAAATACACGCGATAGCTAAGCAACTAAAACAGTTCGAGTGTGGACGTGGTCGAAATTCTTTCGATTCATCGCGTGTGGAACACAGAAAGCAGTAATTGTTGGAAAGCACAAAGAACTTATAGGAAGGAATTGTTGACAGTTACTGAATGTCGTATATGTTTTTTTTATCCTGAACAAATGAATGTAACAGTGCCTCAGAATGTGTCAGTGACTAAAATAATAATGATGATAAAATAATAAATACATTTTGAGAAAATAAAACCACACATTTTAGTGATCTTTTCATGATATTTGACGTTAAGCTGCTTCTCAAGTCAAGTCAAGTCAAGAAAAAGTTTATTTATACGCCTCAGGCCGGATACAAATGCAACATAACATACATCCAAGCGCACAATGCGCGGCCCAACAGTTCAGATTAAACAAGACAGGAGACGTGCTCCCCTACCAATCCCGACCCATCCATCCCACTAGTTGCCCAAGTGTATACATAATTACACAAATATTTGCATATCTTTATTAAAAACGTTTGGCCATGGCAGAATAGCAATGTTACTGTTGCCCCACAACACATTTCGTCGCTGCTTTTGCACAAAGGGTAGAACATTATCCTAGAAGCATATTCCATTCAAATCGTCATTAGCAATGATGAGTCGTGTTCTCCCATGAGTTGTGATGTCACCAAATACCACTTCACTTACTCCCCAAACAGACGACGTTGAGTAACGCATACGTCGGTAAAACGTTTATCTGGACGCCTGTACACCCTTGCACGACAATCAGAGATGTCCAGATGAAACTTGGACTCATCTGTGAGCAGATGACTGTCCCAGTCTTTTGTCTGAACCTCAGAGGCTGTCTTCACCAAGCTATGGTGCTAGAGGGTGACGTGGACATAGGGGCCGGATGTTGTGCTCCTGCAAGCGGTTGCATACGATTATGCCATTCATTGGTCTGCTGTAAATGTGGCAGTTTGGTATCGATTCCGTAGATGTACCAACCAAATATGGTTGTCTTGTTTACCTAACGTCACACTGGTACGGCCTGCCCATGGTAAGTCATGAATGTTGCTCTGCTGTAGATTACGTCTCCAAAGAGATGATATTGTGCCTCGAAGAACATTATAATGTCTGGAAACTTCGTTTTGCGCCATTCCTGTTTGCTGAATACCAACGGCGCATAGACTTTGATTTTCACCAAGCCTTGGCATTGTGTAAGCGTTATTTACAGTTCTTTTCACATATTGCTCCCAATAAACACGAAAACATCCAAATTGTGCGCCGTGCGTTAACATGCACGTGTAAATTGTGAATCACCACATAAAAGAAGAGATGTATTCATGAACATGTATTGAAAGCTGCATTGTTTAATTTCAGAATAAATTGATTTTTTATTGAACTGTATTCTAAGTCACATTTTCCCGTTGGTATATATAATGAATATCGACCGAGTTCGCCATTTCTGCACAGTTACTTGTTTTAGGATATCGCCTCTTGAAGTCAGCTGTTATATTGTTGTCGCATTATATCACTGAACCCATCCTAGAGGGTGTATATTTCTTGTATAAATGGATGGGTGAAACAAAGTGAAAACATGTTTGAGGAAAAGTGAATGTTGGTCAGGTCCATTCATCATTACCCGTCGATTCATGTGTTCTCAGGAAAATCAGATCTGTTTGGGAAAGAAAACAAATCATCATTATCATTTGTAATTTTGCAACAGATGGTGGAACTTGCTTTTACCACATTTCACATATCGAACTTGAAAAAAATACATAGTGTCCTCACCTTCTATTTATCTTCACATAGATCCAGGTGTACAGTTTTCTGTACTCCTTTTTCAGTAATTCATAGCTAAGTGAATTTAGTCCATCGGTTTTCCTGCCTTTGGCAACCTGTCTTATAATTTTAAATCTGAAAATAAAAAACCCATGAAATATTCATAGCCCCATCGCAACAACAAGTCAGGAAATAGTGGCCGGTTAGCTATGGGAATGTGTCATCGACATAGTGAGTGAGTGAGTGAGTTGGGTTTAACGCCGCTTTTAACAGCGCCGTAGACAACTGGGCCACCCACGCTCCTTCATCGACATAGAGGGTGATTTATTATCAAACACATAATTAGATGCATCAAGTTCATCAACCTAAATTATTCAGTTGCTCTTTGTTGAGTCTATTTCACTACCACGCTGAATTGTTTGAAAAGTCACACATGAGTGAGGCAAACAATGAGTTTATGCGTGGTCTTTACTTTTCTCATGATTTACCAAAACACAAAGTATAGAGCACATGTACATGACATAAAGATAATAAATTATCTTATTCAAAAGAAACAGTTTGACAAGACTCGATAATGAAAGACAGGACACAAAAACCCAATTACAAAGTCCTTAAATATGTTGTATGAAATCAATCCAATTTTCATACTTATTCTGTCATACAGGTCCATGAGGTTTCGTTTCAATATATTCCATAGGTTTGTTTGTTACAAGTATTTCCATATCTCAAGTAGTTCTTTTTTACCATTCTTACTATGTCTGATCGAAAAAAGACAGATAGTAGATAGCTTTTCAAGTTGACTAAGATGCAGCAACACTTTATGCAGAGTTGAGTTTGTTTGTTGTTTAACGCCGCACTCAGCAATATTCCAGCTATATGACGGCGGTCTGTAAATAATCGAGTATTGAGCAGACAATCCAGTGATTGACATAATGAGCCTCGATCCACGCATTGGGATCGATGACATGCATCAACCAAGTCAGCGAGCCTGACCACACGATCCCGTTAGTCGGCAAGCATAGTCGCCTTTTACGGCAAGCATGGGTTGCTGAAGACCTATTCTACCCCGGGATCTTCACGGGTCTCAAACTGTACAGACAAACTTATTATCATAGTTCATCCAACGTGGGATTCAAACGCAACTGACCCGTGAAGATCTGGGGTTGAATAGGTCTTCAGCAACCCATGCTTGCCATAAAAGGCGACTATGCCTGTCGTAAGAGGCGACTAACGGGATCATCTTACCTCTATCGTCCTTCCAAGATCATTAGTGGTCATAAAATCTACTGTAATACTTCACTTCCGGTTGTGTCGTGTTCCCAGTTCGTAATTATCATACAGCTATTATCTCTTACAATGTTTGAAATTTTAAGTTAACTTCCGAGCATCCACAACTTTTGTTGAGAGCATATGTGAATTGCTTCCTCACAGAAAATTTGTGAACGAATCCTTCGAAATGGAGTCTCGTGACATTCTCGCTGGAGATATAGAGAATCTCACCCGAGTGTCTTTTGATATCAAATATATCAACACGAGTTGATAAAAGTGGGAAAACTCCGAGGCTTGCCGAGGAATTTTTCCACTTTTATCAACGAGTGTTGATATATTTGATATCAAAAGACACGAGGGTGAGATTTTATTTATCATCCAACATCATTCTTCCAACTTTTTCAGTTTGTAGAAAGTAATAAACAGTGTCTTAAGTGCAAAAAGTACTGCTAACAGCTTTAGTAGCAGAGCCATTAGTGATGTCATTTGATTGTGACGTCATGGTAACCAATGACGTCACAATGGTCTGCAAAGCATTGTGATGCAATTTCATTGCAGCGATATCTACAGTATAGATACCGCTTGATCTCACCCAAGCGATATCTCCTGTGGGAGCCAGTTTTGGATGATAAATGAATTTGCCCATTTGACCTTAATCTTCAAGATTTTCAGCAAACAATTTCTGACAGATCAGTTTCAAATCACTGGCCTTTCAAGTTTTGGAGAAGAAGATTTATGAATAGATAAAAACAAAAAATCAAAGATGCGTATCTGGCGGCGATACTGAAATTCCAAAGTGATGCCTTGAACAAACTTGCACCCCCTTATAGCAACAAACATGCAGACACATTTCAGCTGAATCCATCAGCCAAAACGTCAAAAACAGACAAATTGCCCTTCGGCCCAGTTGAGATAAAAACTGGTAGCGGAGCCAATTCAGTGTGGGATGAGAATTACGCAAGCATACACAGGAAATTTGGTCTGTTGTTCATGTAAAAGGTCGGTGCACGAAAAGTGTTTCCCCTTGTCATGTTTACTATTGCCTAAAATTCCGCCACTGATATGATTGCTACATACTCACGAACCAACGCCAGTTATCTTACCGAACCAATCAACATAGCGCCTTATATCCAACCAGTACTGCTCAGTCAAGGGAATAAAACAGGCAATTACAATGGAAAAGTTATATTAACGTACGTTTGTACATTTTTTTTGAATTTCTCAAGGCGAACTGGGTGTATGTTCCACAGACCAGGCGCAGCAGCCGAAATGTACTGTCAACCATTCAGGTTGTGTTCTGATCTCAAGGACCTTGCTGATTGGTAAAGGATGATGATATACTTCAGGTATTGTGGCTCTTGTCATTTAAAATATGAGGACACCCTTATACTGAATTAACCTTTTGCTGTAATATTATGTTTTTTTTCATATTTTAGTAAGATCGTCGATAAAAAATTCTAATAATTTATCTCATCACCTTCAACTTACCGATCCTTGTTTACTGGATTTGTTTCGTCTCGTTTGTGTAATATATTTCTGTACCGAGCAACTTCTGCTGGTGGTCTACTAATTGTTAATCCACTGTGTCTAACTCTGAAAAAAAGAAATCATTATGTAAAGTGTTTGGGGATGTTGTAAGTTTGCACCGCACAGTTCATACGGTTTGCATGTCAGTGTGAAAGGAACGTTATAATATAACAAGCAAGAAATACCCAACGTATTGCTGATATATTTTCATAATATAACGATGGGGATTCGAACTCACTCTTACTTCCTCAGCGACCAAAGTCATTATCTGTTTGCATTCCACCTTATAAAACAACATTGCACGGAGGCGCTAAAGGAAGATATTTTTTTATTTTAAAACACCATATAAGTTTGTAATATCTGATTTGACAAACACTATGAATGCAATGAAGCATTTCTATTCATATTAAACCACAACCTTACCTTTGCAACATGTCGTCATCTTCCATACCCCAGCCAAAGTATCTATTAGAGAAGCCATTGACTTTGTTCATGTGTTCCTTGGTAAGTGCGAGCACTCCGCCAAATGCGCCGTTATAGAACAGTCTGTGCGAACGAATATTATAATCGAATAATCAGACTATATGGTAATTGATAGGGACCAGCTCTTATTTTCTGTGACGAGTAGGGATGATGGAGTTAAGTGAGATAACATCTACTATGATGTTATGACACTGAAACCGTGCATGCATGATGCCACCACCTCTTTCCAAGGTCAGCGTGTCCACTAGCCTGATCAAAGTCTGGTTTTTACCCTTGCCATTTCAAGCCTACTTTTATGTGCTAAAATATATGAGGACTGTTGCACATATCGATAGTCCAATATCAATGACCGTCTTACAAAATCAACATCCATGTTCCAAGAGTTAATCGAAGACAAATATTTTCGAATTTCTACAAAGTTTCAATCAACTCATGATCACTTAAGAACTTTAATATACTTGACTGCAAACTTCATTATTTTTTAACTCGAAGAACTGAACGGTTATCCCCAGCCTCTTATTGTAAGATTGATTGGTTGGTTTGATGTTTAACGCTGCACTCAGCAATATTCCAGCTATTTGACAGCGGTCTGTAAATAATCGAGTCTGGACCAGACCATCCAGTGATTAATATCATGAGCATCGATCCACGCAATTGGGATCGATGACATGCATCAACCAAGTCAGCGAGCCTGACCACCAGATCCCGTTAGTCGCCTCTTACGACAAGCATAGACACCTTTTACGGCAAGCATGGGTTGCGGAAGACCTATTCTACCCCGGATCTTCACGGATCGTATTGTAAGAGCGACATGCGACAGTAACAAGTATTTTTACTGTGGTAATCAGTAATTATGTTTGTCTGAGATTGCGTAACAAGATGATCTCTATTATTGAGCAAATTGCGCAAATATGTCGGAACAGAATACTGCTTTCACAAGATGAAGTTCTTCTGATAAAAGACCCAGGGCAAAACAACTATGGGTTGCTTCAGGTGAAATCCCTTCCAGGACACACCAAATTATCAAAAACGCCAGCATCATGTCGAAAAAACTTAAAACTTACCAGTTCCAAATTCTGACATCCTGTAGCAACAATTTCTTAATGATCATTCTGTGTATATGATGTATATATGGTGCATGTATAGTGCCTGTGCACAGTTAAACTGAAACTTCGGCGCAATATAAACATATTAGATTAGTTCACCTAGCCAAAGACTGTTAGATTGTCATGGCGTGTTGTTGTGCATCGCCTATCATTCACGTTCTTCTCTGAAACCACTGCAGATCTATAAAGTTGTCACTTTGCAGAAAGCCAAGCTCTGCAGCTGCAGTGGTTTCGTAGAAGAGAAAAAGTATCCGTGGAGTTTCCAGATTAGAATTCGTTCCAAGAAATATATGGTTGTCGACCGGATGGGAGATTGTTAATTTGCCTGATTGATTGCCATCGTATCCCAACGTTGTGTGATTTTCTAATGATATCAACCACGGGTTTTTATTTACAGGGCGCCATGATAAAGCTGGAATATTACTGACTTCGGCGTTGTAAATGGTGTGACCATCGTATATTATGACTGGGGATGTCGTTGTCGATTGTCGTGCGATATGGCCGCCAAGGCAGCAGGTTCCGACAGAACCAACTGTTTTTTCTAAGCCGTGATTCATGGTCAACTAGATTTTTAAACCCCTTGGCCGAGCGTCTAAGATAAGGTTCGAGTAACCTGAGGGGACAGACGGTTGTGTTGTCTTGCTGTGCATGCAAGGTCTGCGTTTGCCTATATGGTCACAATCACTTTCCCCTCATGTATGGTTATTGGAATGTAGGTGGATAGTTGGTCGGTCCAAAACAGCATTGAATCGCCATGTCGCTGATTGCTACGTCTACCTTTTTAACAAAAGCAATGGTCCAAAGCATTCCATGCTTATCGTAATGATCCTAATCGGGGCGAATCTGGATTGGAACCCACAAGGGGTTTCTGTCACTCCTAATGGAGGCATCTAAGTACAGCAAACATGTTCATTCATAAATGAAAAATAACTCTTCAACGCGAATATTGACGTGTTTAGTTTATGTCACGAACACATTAACTGTAATGCAAAGACTGACTCTGTTGAAAATGCATAGATCCGAGATTCGTTTCGTCATGAAGATAAATGCGTATATATGTCTTATTCCCAATTTTGTGTTAATGTAGTTGTTTATAACCAGCCAACTTGTACTGTTTGCAGCATTTCAACTGGTAGTCTGAACGCTTCTGGAACCATATGACTTCACATATTGTTTAAAAATAAACCACCCCGCGTCTCTACCAAATACAACCATAATTTTAAACATGATTTATTCAATTTGAAAATGCAAAGAATGAGCAATACAAGCAAAACTGGTCAACTGATTTTGATTTATGCTCAGGAAATAGAAAACGAGAGGCGGACCGACTGACAGACAGATTGGTGTCTGACAGTTACATGTATATATCCTCCATTAGTCTTTATTATAATTTAATTACACCACCGTCTGTCATACTCTCTGCCAGTACGGTTGGCGTTGGTATTTATTTCAGCAGCAAGTGCAGCTACTTAATAATACACAGGTTCAGTCTAATGACAGTAAGATTTTCCTATCCATATTTTTTAACTGTGAGTGAACTCTTATTATGGATATTGAAACGGGAGGACAGTCGGACGGGAATATTGACATGCTGATAGTTTAAGCTATTTTTTTCAGAACTGTTTTTCTGCATTTACTTTCCTATCACCATTAACAGTGGGTCGGTCGAAATAAAATGTGCTGCCATTTGAATGGTTTGAGCACTGTTTGACATTGTTCTTCTGACTTTCAAAGAGTATCTGAGTTTGATTTCATTGTGTATGTTTATTCAGTTGATCGGAATGTTTAATTTTTATTCAAATACCAGTGTACTTAATAGACACAAGGATCGGTCTTGTATGGAAAAATAAAGTTTTAATTGTCATATATAGTATCCTTATTTTGCCTTGGTCACGGATGCGTAAACAAGAAAAATTGGTGTCGCCTCGGATTTATTGAAAAAGAACTAAACTTATTAACCGAAGGCAATCTGTGACATATGAAGTGTAATGTTGAAACAATACAATGAAGACACGTTTTTAAGAAATAGGTTGCCCGTGCCAGTCTATTGTTACACCAGGAACCAAACAAGGACCATGTACATGACAAGCGATCGCATTAACCTCTAGACCATTCCACCACCGATACTTACTTGTAATTATGCTTGTCCGTAGCAACTGCCATATGACGTGGATTCACAGGACAAGTATATAGGTTATTGTCATTCTCGGGGATGAGATCCACATCGTGGAAAATAACACACTGGAAGTCAAAGTCCTTTAATGCCTCTGTGTAACCTACGTTCATCATTGTGGCTTTGTTGAATGTGCCTGGCAAAGCCTGCAATATGGATATTCCAAATTCAATTCAAACAGCATCAGTTATAAACTACAGTAAACTACGGTTATAACGAACACGCTTATAACGAACTGACGGATATAGCGAACTTACTTTTAGGTCCCGATTATATGATATGTAGTTATGCTGTATATATGCTTATAACGAACTACGGTTATAACGAACTAAAATTAGTGGTCCCTTTGAGTTCGTTATAACCGTACTTTACTGTATATATATTATTATTGGTATTGGTGTGTTTTAATAATATTTTATGTATACTGTGAATCCCTGGGTGGCTCGTTCCACTCCTGTTTGGATTCATTATTTAATTGTCCAGAGTAATTACTCCTTGTGTTTTTTTATGTTCCTAATCGTAATCGTCTAGAATGTTGAATTTGATTTTTATCCATGTGTGTCCAAGAGCGTGAGTTTCCTCATAGGTATTTGAAATAATTTTACCTGTTCCACGACGTAGATGCCGTAATCTAGTTGCTGTCGTTGCAAAATGGGATGAAGGTTGTTGAGGAGAACCTTGAGATGGGACTCTCGGTCGCGATAGGGCACAATAATGGCCACTCGGTGACGAGCTATGCAACCCAGAGGTGTGAATCGACCACCAAGATTTAGTTCTGTATGTTGCCTTTCCAGTTCCTCAAAAGACAAAGCTTCCATCCGTGGTGAAAAAGCCCCAACTGAAACATTCATCTGCATGATACATGTCCTGATAAAACAAACCGGTCGTCTTAAAGTTAAGTTTACCATCTATTTTTAAAGGTCTTTTTTATTCTAGGACAAGGCTTTGTAATAGTTCAATATTAAAACTTTTACATTGTTACATCCTTGTGTGATTAGAGCAATCATCATTTATCAGTTTGATAAACAGTTCTTTCAGGAGAATTAAAACGAAGTGTTATGAAATACACCGTATAAATAACATTTGCAAGAGCTATCAATTAACCCAAGCATTGATCCCCTTGAAGTTTTGATCCCCATGGATATTGTAAATGTTACCTGCTTTAAAGTACATGTAGATTTCATATTTCGACTAATGCTGTTTTGCATTTCTCGACAATATTGATCATAAGCTCCGTCAGCTTCTAAGTATTGCCTATCAAACAAGTTGATCATACATGTAAATGTGTTATAAACTGCTGGTTCCAAACATCCCAGCCATAGATCTAACATTGTTGACAAGGTAAACTCATCATTGAGCCTGTACTGAGTAACGAAATTCTCTAATCTTTACTCGAAACTATCTCTTTAGTTTGTCGACTGTACCACATTTTTTCATAACCTGGGGGTTATTTCAACATAATAAGAAAAAACAACAATTTGATTTGCCCTAATTATTTATCCACTTACGTAGATTTGGAGGTATCAAAGGACAGCGATTTTGAACTGTTAGTCCCAACCAGATGTAGGAAGACGTCATGAAAGCCAAGAAAATACCAACCAGTAGTATGCCCATGCACTTGACCATGCTGACAAACTGTGGAATTGTGAATCGTTATAGGTCCAGTTGTTGTAATTATCCAGACACAGCAGCTGTGGACTACCTGGAATGCAGTAAAACATTGTTTAAAGAATGGATAGAGATTACACGAGTGTACAAATCTTTCAGCTGCAATTTATGTGACGAGTCAAAACGTGTCTGTGAAGCGAAGGCGAGATATATACGTTTTAAATCAAAGTGAGTTTAAAGATAAACGATATCTGAGAGACACGAGTGCAGTAATCTGTTTGTTACACACCCTATATACAAAGCTCTATGTTAGCATCGAAGCGATGCATATTTTGTCTATTCTCATGATGGCCGCAGTGGCGCTTCATACACAACACAATCGTCATGCGTGACATCTGGGTTACTGCTTACTATTCATACTTGACGTGGCCCTCCACAGACAGTTTCAGCTATATCTCTACGTTTTTTCAAGGTAATGATAGTATGGATACTAAATACGATCAATGGAACATTACATTTAGTAAACACTCTAAAACCATTGAGTTTGACACCGATGCAATGTCGGTGAATCTACTTCTTGTCAGTGAAACAAATTTTACAGTGTTATTAATCTCTCCAAACAAGTGAAAGTACATGCCATCTCTCCTTCAGTTTGATGACAGTCGTCGTCATCAGGAGACCTTGTCTTAAAGTTTATGTCAAATGCCCCCCTCCCCCTCCCCCTCCGTGTATATGTAGAAAAGTATGTCATTGAGTGTAAAGCAAGTGCCTAAATGTGCCATTGAGCAGGTTACATTCTATTCGTCTCCACAGCCTGAATGTTTTCCCGAGAACAACACTGCGCTAACGATATTACTGATGTTTTGGTCGTGAGGTTGAAAAATGCTCTTCGCACTCTGCATGTTACGATGGCCTGAAATTTCACAATAAACGTCAGAGGAATAGTTTCAGACAGTGTTTGAACAGGGAATTTTCTGACTGAATGATTTGGGAATTTCCTGTTTTCGAATCCAACATATTGGGACATTCATCTCATAATTGAGCTGTGTTTATTTATACCAACATGTTTTTACCTTTTGAACCAGGGGGATTTGCAAATTTCCTTTGTGTCAATGGCGAAAAAGTGGAGTGTATTCGGACTTGAGGACGCAGGCATGGATACAGCTTGCCCATCCTTTGGGAATATATGTAACGGGCATACCACTGAATTATCCCCTTGGCATATTTTTTACTCCTGTCTGTGAAATCCAGATATTTCCCATCCTCTAAGTCACTTTTAAGTGTAACATCTTCCCTTTTCATGTTAGTGTGGGGTTTGACACAACGGATCCCAAAATGAGTGGTGTTCCACCACACCGTGTTCTAAAGTGATTCAGGATCGTGAGGACCAAATTGGTTTGTTTCAAAGAGATTCAACACGTCGAGGTAGATAATCCATACGTTCACTCTCTATAACATTTTGTTTTGGTCATAGTTCTAAGCTTTTTCTATTCACGATCATTGTTCTTTGACACCATGCCACAAACTGAAGATGATTTGGAATTGCTACCATCCTCCTTCTCGAGATTGATAAAACATCGAACACATCCCACCAGCAGAACTTTGTTACCTTTTGTGTACAACAAAAGGTAACAAAGTTCTGCTGGTGGGATGTGTTCGACTACTTGTCTCAATATTTGCACTACAGAAACTTGGAAACGTTTCATGCTGTACAATGTTTTACGTTGGCGTTCTACGTTCTATTTACATAGTGTTTTGGTTCTGATTATTTTAAACGAATTTATCAATATCAGAATCATCAAGTGGTTGCTCAGGGGCTGGGGATGGATCCTTACCTTTCGAACCATCGGTTCATCGGTTAGAAATACATCCTCCATCATTTGATGAATTTAAAGCATTGGGCAGATCGATCTCGGCATATATACAGTCCGGTAGTTTCGCAAGACGAAACATTGTCGCAATTATTCAGCATAAAAATAGAATACTTAACGAGCTCCCGGGTAATACCAATTTTATGAAACGAGTGAATAGTTGTGGCGTTTGACGAGCGAAAGCGAGTCAGATACCACAACTATTCACGAGTTTCATAAAATTGGTTTTACACGGGAGCGAGTTTAGTATTTTATCTATTACTTGCCATTAATAACGTTTTTAGAATTATACTGTTGAGTATGAATAGGCTGACACCTACACGATCCACGGCATAGTCCATTTGAGTTTAACAGAATAATACTTCAAACACGTCAAAAGTTGAAACGTATGAATTTAAAACCTTAAAACGGTCCACCTTTAGAATTCACAAAATTAAGACTATCGCAACTCACATACTTTAACTTCGACTTAACGGCTGTCGTTGCGCTACAATACGATCGCCTTGTGGAAAGGGCCTTGCACCTCAAAGTTAACAATAACGTCACAATACCCAATGGCTTAATTTGTGGAATTTTGTTGCAAGATCCATCGGCGAAACAATGCCATGTGACTTCAGCCTACCAACAAGATTGCTGGAGTCATCGAGTGTGCATAAGCTCCTCTCAGTGATCTATAAACTCCACACGCAATGTCGTTGAATTGGCCAAGGGATGTTGAGAGCTTTCAATATTTGTTCGTGAAACGTGTTCCGTGAGTACATAAGCACGTGTTTTGGTATTACACAATGTGTAATACAGCTGTATGTTTATTAAACGGGTGGTCTCTTCACTGCAGCAACTATGACGATAGAAGACGATAAACGGAATACACTTGAAAAGTATGTATATTTGATGTTTTTTTCCAAGTTTGTCTAATGCATAAATACTGTACCTGCTTACGATACCATAGCAAAAACACCAAGCTGCTAGGTAAACAAGAAAATTAACGGGCTCGGCATATGAGTAACAGTTCTGGATTCGAGAGAAGCATGGGAGACTTATCAATAAATCAGGAAAGTAATGACCTGAGGTTATCACTAGGGGGCAGCTCATCTCCCGCCTTTAACAGTTATCTCAAATGGGTTTCTCACGCACAAGCGTGTAAGAAATTTATTTCAGCACTTCTGGCTCGGGGGCTTTCAGTGCGGTGAAGATGTTTGTTGGCTTGTTGTTTAACGCCGCACTCAGCAATATTCCAGCTATATGACGGCGGTCTGTAAATAATCGAGTCTGGACCAGACAATCCAGTGATCAACATCATGAGCATCGATCCACGCAATTGGGATCGATGACATGCATCAGCCAAGTCAGCGAGCCTGACCACCCGATCCCGTTAGTCGCCTTTTATGACAAGCACAGTCACCTTTTACGGCAAGCATGGGTTGCTGAAGACCTATTCTACCCCGGAATCTTCACGGGTGAAGAAGTCGCCAGTGCCTGTCATTTTCAGACATAAGGCCTCAAATAACTGGTTATTCGCTGGTGTTCTATACCTAAAGTTACCAAAATATAATGCGTTTGTTGGTTAAAGGCGTTTTAAACAGTAACTCAGTTATACCATGACGTGTCAATATAATGTCGGATGAAATACCAAATGACTCGGATCGTAGGGTTTACCACTTTGTTGAAATCTACGAATAACAGTATTGCTACAACCAGCGAATTATTATCGTGGCGAATCAGACCTAGGGATTCGAACCTACAACCATTGGAGTCTCTGCATAGCGATTTGCAGCGCTTTATATACAGGTGAGTGTACCGCCCATGTACCCTTGGAACAAAGAAATGCAGATAAACGAATGATGTACATTGAAGGTGGATCTGTATTATCAACCATAGCAAGCTTAAATACTACAATGTCCTTCCATATTCTCCAAATTATACTACAATACAATTCCATATTCTCCAACATACTACAATGCCATTCCATATTCTCCAATAATCCACAATTCCATTCCATATTCTTCAATATACTACAATATAATTCCATATTCTTCAACATACAATATAATGTAATGTAACATGATAACAACGACATGCAAAATACTTTCGGTAGAAAGAAGCATATGGGTGAAAATGGCAAACGTACGTTACTAATGACCTTCACTGTGTCCTTGACACTTAATGTAAGCCTATATGGACCTTTTACAACGATCCTTCTTGGTCCACGTTCTACTGGCCTGCTGGACTCCTGACATGGCTGATCAATGTGTGGCAAAGATGACCAATGGCTATTCAGTAGATCGATGTTTAAGCACAGCGTTGTTTTGAAAAGTAAAAAAAAAATTTAATAAATGCGGCGGTCAATTTCAGGCATAACCATAAGCATCCGCAATTACATGGTGACCCGTGAAGATCCGGGGTAGAATAGGTCTTCAGCAACCCATGCTTGCCGTAAAAGGCGACTATGCTTGTCGTAAGAGGCGACTAACGGGATCAGGCGGTCAGGCTCGCTGACTTGGCTGATGCATGTCATCGAATCCCAATTGCATTGATCGAGGCTCATGATCATGGTATCAATCACTGGATTGTCTGGTCCAGACTCGATTATTTACAGACCGCCGTCATAAAGCTGGAATATTGCTGGGTACGGCGGAAAGCAACAAACACACAATTACATAAGACTGCTTAATTACAAGGCTTTACTTTTTTGTATTTCATTCATTTCTTTCTTGCATGTATTTCGGATGATATGACATTGGCTTTGGAATTGGAAATGTGTATACCTGCCCTTGACAGCCCGGGTCAGCTCATCGCCCACGTGGAAACATATAGGACAGCCCGGGTCAGCTCATCGCCCACGTGGAAACATATAGGACAGGACGTGTGGTTTTGATAAAGAATACGAATGCTTATTGTCGGCGTGACGACGTCATCATCTACGTTATCAGGGAGAATCCAGACGAAACAGCGGCTATGTGTAACAACTCGGTGCTTTCGCTATTGAATCAATGTGTTCAACTTGAGGACAGGGAATGGCGAGAATCGAATATTGGCTGTGCTCACAGGCTTTGTGTTGAACGTGATCACGCCCAGAGACCACGCGCAATGATCGCCAAGTTCAGGGAGACCGACGAAAAAGTAGCCACGTTGAAAGCCCGTTCTAATTTTCGTTCATGTCTATATGGTGTGGCAAATGATCGGACATGATTTAAGAATGACTCGTTTACTATCGATACATTTG